GGTGTGGAGGGGATGGCTATAAGGGGAGAAGGGAGGCCATCCTTAAAAAAAAAAAAAAAAAAAAAAAAAAAAAAAAAAACAGCACTTTTCGCCCAGGGATTGCAAGGACTCCATTCTGGTTTTCAAATGATTTAAACTCATTATTAGAAATAAAAAGTGATATAATCCACCACTTGGTACCGCTATAAACTTGAAATTAAATAGTTTTATAATCTACACCAATTAACACTCTAAATATAGAGCATCTGATCTATTTACTGCCCTACTCCTTTTTGGGAGTGTTTCAGCCTCAGAAACTACTGTCCACACAACTGTCTCCTGTTGATTATTGCTTACTCTACCTGGATTTGTGTGCCACCTGCAGAGCTCTGAGGGCTTTCTCCACAGCTGCTGTCAGCATGGCCTCATCCTGCAGCATCTGACTCAGCACAGGGAGAGGCAGCTCCAATAACATGCCTAAAACACACAATGTGCATTCATGCCAAACTGACTGTTTCATTACTGCTATTTATTTACATTAAATACAGTGATTTATTATAGCACAAAACATAACTGGACTTTTACCTGTGAGTTTTCCAGCACTCTCCTTGTGTTTGGGGTAAATCAGATTGTACAGTTGTTCACCAACTAACTCAAAATCTTCTTCATCCATGCTCATGTTCGTTTTTTGCATTTAAATTCATCTGTCACAACCTAAATAAATCGGACTTTAGAGTGACTAGCTGTTGTCCAGATAGCATTCACCTCTGAGAACTTGTAGCTTTTTTTTCCATCCTCGATCCATCAATTTACACGACAAAAACCCAAAAGCTATTCAGGAACAAGGTCCATTATAGCAATTTGCTCTTTAACCATTATTTTTATTTATTCAGAGTTTTTCCTCGAGAGCTCGTGATTTTGTATAAAATGATACACAATTCTTAGAAAATAAAACAAACCCTGACATTTAGCATTTTTTCTACTGTAAACACGACGCACATTAATGACGTAAATTTTGTGCAGCAAGATTGGGAAGTGTCCATCCGCACTCGCCGTGCAGAACTAGTTTGCCATAAAATTCACTAAACATTTAGCACAACATCAAAACAATAGCTTGTGACGTTACATTTAATAGTAAAATTATTTTTAACGTGCATATGCAATTTTTTTTATTTAAATAAAGGTTGATGAAAATAAATATCTTTGTGCGCGCATGAATCTCTGAAAAGGTTCCGTAAAACGGTTTCCGCTCTCTCCGGGCCTTTTCCGCCGCTCTAAGGTAACGTGGTCGTTTCTGCTGCTGATACTAAGTGCAAAAATTAGATGTATTTTCCCGTCATAGTTGTATTTAAACCTACAAAATGATGTGTGAATACTGTGTTTAATATTAGGTACACAATTTAACCCAAAAACGTGTCTGTTTCTTTTTATAATAAATGTAAATACCTCGCCTAGCTTAGGCCTCACCGTGGTCTCGTTGAGTGGAAGAGCTAACGTTAGCAGATGTTGCTAAACTACTCTTTACATGAATAAAATCTTAACACGAGCTTTGTCTTTAACATTGACCAACTATCACAGTATTGAAGCTGAACTGGTAACATCTGGCTTGTTTAATGTACACACTTGTATGGGAATATTTGTTAAAAGACGTAGTGAGGCGGTCAATCAGTGTCAATTTATTTTACTAATATTTTTCTTGTTTTGTTCAGGTTCATCATGTCGTCTCATTTGCAGTGGATGGTCATCAGGAACTGCTCCAGCTTCCTCATCAAGAGGAATGGGCAGACCTACAGCACTGTGAGTTCTCAGTAATGGCGCAAGTTTCTGTAGGAAAAAACAAATCACTTGGTTGTAAGACCGTTTAAAGTTGTACTTAAAATTAGTTTCAGCATTAGAGAGAACCTCAAATGTTAAACACATTCAGCTGCTTTACAGTACTTGTTAAAACTCTTATTTATGAAACAAAATTCACAGCTGTTTGTAAAAGTGGGTAGCTGTAATTAAATTTTTATTGTTTTTGTTTCATTAAGGTTGTTGTTTTTTTCTTCACCAACACAGTAGCCTGAATCTGTTCTGTACAGATTTGGTAATTTCCTAAAGTTAACAAGTTAAACTTTTTGGCAAGTACTATATGATGGCTGAATTGTACAGACTTGTTTTCATTTGGATAAATGGTATTTGTGTGTCATTGTCTATAAAATTATAAGTATTGATGTTAAAGTCTAAACCGTTTTCTAAGTGGATATAAAAATGGGAGTGTTCAGCTTAATTCTTAACCAATTCAGTAAGTTTACATGAGTGGCCTTTGTGTTGCAGGAGCCAAACAATCTGAAGTCCAGGAACTCTTTCCGCTTCAATGGCTTGGTGCACAAAAAGACTGTTGGTGTGGAGCCAGCTGCCGATGGCAAGGGTGTTGTAGTGGTGCTGAAGAGACGTGCAGGTGAAAACCTTTCTGCTTCTTATGACCATTCAGAAATCACTGGGTTGACCATGTCCTACATAGACCTGATCTTTCAGAAATTAAGAAAGCTTATTGAAACCAGAAGAGGCATGTAGTGGGACTCGGCTGAAGTGATGTGGATTTTAAAAAAACAACAAATAAACTCAGTTTAGTGGTTGTTTTTATGGTGAAAAACAATTCTTCAGCTAAATGCTAGATTGCCTTGTTTCCTTGCTTTAATGAATCAGATTACTTCTTAAGCTTTTAAGTCCCAAGGCAAGGTGGTCGCACAGACTGTCATTGTTACGTCACGTCTGTGAGCTGCAAGTGTTAGGGTTCTGTTACTACCTTACCCAGAGATGCGTCGGGGGTGGGTTCCCTACCCCCACCACACACACACACACACACATTCTTATTACCAAATTCCTTAGTAAATGAAGTCTGTGCAAAGTAAAGATAACTTTTTTCCAAACTTAGGAACTACAAAGATGAAATTTGTATTGTGAACCTCTCTTTTTGCTCTTCAGCCAGTACTTTATTATGAACTGATCATGACTTGGTGTTTGCTGTGCTGATAAAGATGTTAGGCAAGCGACGTATTTCTAGCCATCTCTCCTTTTTTCTTCTTAAGTCTCTGCTTTTGTCTTAATGAACTCAAATTTCTATCTTGTTCCTTCCTCGGCTGCACAGGCCAGCACAAACCTGCCTCATCTTATGTAAAAGTCACCATCAACAAGAACTCCCGCGCCACCCTGAACAGCCTGAGGCACATCATTAGCAAGAACAAGTACAGGAAGGACCTGCGCATGGTGAGCTGACCTGTGCTGCTTTTAAAGCCCAGTCATGTTGGATTAAAGTTGGTGTCACGTGTTTGACGTGATTGCTTGATGTTTTTAGAAGTTGTAGAATCTAATTAAATTATTTATTTTGCAGGCTGCTTTGCGTCGCGCCAGTGCTATTTTGAGGAGCCAGAAGCCTGTTGTCATCAAAAAGAAGCGCGCCAGGGCTGTGAAGACAGCATAAACTGATTTACATGACAGATAAATAAAAACTTTTTGTTTGGACAAACAATATTGTGTCTTTACTCTTTTTAATATAGTTAGATTTGTTGCTTTATTGTGCAGGTTTTATCGATTTTTAAACAGTTTACAGCATACAGTTTCATGCTGATACTTGATCAGTGAAGATGTGAAAAAAATTTGTGATTGCGAATGGGTCAGCAAGTGAACAGTTGCTTTTACTGACCCAGTTCTAACTGTTCCCTCGTAGAGACTAGCTGTAATGACTGTCATCTGTTAACTGTTCAGCTTATTCAACCATCCAGATGCAGACGGTTCACTTGAAAGTGTGCAGATAGCTCCAGGAGACGTTTTTTTTTTGTCAACTTGAATACGTGGCAGAGATGAGTATCAAATGCGTGTTTATCGATTTGTACTTGAAAATGTAGTATTTTAGGTTCACTGATCTGCTCATAGATGGTTTTTAAACCAGATGAAACAAACGAGCAGGCTTTCTGCTCTTTGTAGTCACTGATGTGGAAGCATTTAATAGATTTTAAAGAAGCCCGCTGGCAGCTTTCCATCCATGGCTTTGGAATTAAAGATCAAACTGTCACACACCTCCCACCATAAGCTGATGAAACAAACCACATCCGCAGCAGCACACTCGGATGTACCAAAGCAGACAGAAGCTGTGTGTCGGGGAGGATGTGACGGAGCCTCGGTGTGAGCAGCATGACAGGATTCAGGCCAGCCTTTCTCCTGGTCCCGCTGACTCTGCTTGTGTTGGAAAGTCAAAACTTTGAGCTGCAGGACACAATCCATGCCCTGGTTGAGGAGAACATTCACCTCCATGACCAGCTGGAAAACTTCACACAGGCCCTCAGGGAGCTCAAACGGATGCTGTGGCATCACTCAAACGGTATGAAGTCCAGTTTATTATTCACATTAGACTGAAAACATTACAGTAGGTTTTTTTTTTTTTAACACTTCACTGTAAACAGGTTAAACAACACAATTCTTGTAAAAATATGTTTATATTTAACATACAAGTTTTGATATCACACAAGTTTTAGTTGTAATAATCATTTGTAGTATCTTTTTACAAATAAAACCTCTTCAAACAAAAAAAGATTAATATGAGCGTGGATGTGTGGTTTATAAAATGATAAAAGCTTGTTTCTTTTCAATTTTTCTGTTATTTGTAATCTTTACTGGCTAACTACAAAAGTAATGTTTTTGTTAGCAAAATATGTCCTGAACCACTGCACACAGTTTAATCCCCCCTCCCCGCAAAAAAAATAAATAAATAAATAAAAATGTAGGGATGTACAACTACAGCAGCTCAGACTGAAGATGGCTGCCATGACCAGCTCACTATTAACACAAACTGCTCATAACTTGGGCCTAGTTTTTTTTATTTTTATGGAACTAACATTTGGTGTGGTGGTAACAGACTGATCCCCAACACAGAAACTAGTGTTAAGATGCTCAAGATCATTTTATCATTATTTTGACAAATATTTTGAGTTAAATGCAAAAAAATCTAATGAACTATTATAATGAAGTTATCAGATGTACACCTACACTCAAAAAAGTACGACAGAGTATTAGGGCCACATGAGATTTTAAAAAATGATCATTATGAGAATAAAGCCATTAAAGTCGTAACATTACAAGAATAAAGTCATATGAGAATAAAGTTGTAATATTCCAAGATTAAAGTCACAATATTACTAGAAAAAAGTCACAATTTTAAGAGAATAATGTAATATTACAAGAAAAAGTTAATATTCTGAAATTAAAGTTGTAATGTTAAATTAAAGTCAAATTATAACTTTTACATGAAAAAGCAGTCTTACTACTGAATTAAAATGAGGGATGTTGAGCAACTTATGAAGTTCTTTAGTTTTGAAATTTTAGCCCATTAAGCATCAAATTACTGTGAAATGATTGTGCAGACAATCTATGATAAATTGAAGCCTTATTGTAATTAATGGCTGTATTGACCGTTTTAGTTGTCACGTTGAATAAAAGCATATTACGGTACTTTAACAGTGTCCCCTGCAGACTACTTAATAAACACAGAGACACATGACTGTCCACAGCAGGTGTGAGGAAATGAGTAAAAATAAACAGGAACAGAAAATGGACATGTCATGAAACATTGACATTTTTCTCATTACATTATGACTTTTTTTCTCGTAATATTATGACTTTAATCTCGGAATATTATGACTTTATTCTCATAATAAAAATAAAAAAAACATTTTGTACAGCCCTAATATTCTGTCGTAATAAAACAGATGTAGCAGATTAAAAAAAATGTTAACTGGTTTCACTCAAGTGAATTGAGTAAAGGTCACACATTTAAAGTAAATGTAAAGTAAATGTGTGACCTTTACTCAATTCAGTTGAGTGGAACCAGTTGACATTTTTTTAAGTAAATCCACTACATTTTTGAGTAGTGTTTTTTGAGTGTATAAATGAATAACAATTGGAGGTAACAAGGTGCCTCCCACGTCTAATCTACAACACAAGCATGGCAATAATTCAGTTAATTTATCAGATATTGAGCAAAAATGTAATGTGATAGTACCTGAAAGTCACTCACTCTTTATGACATGTAAAGATATTGTCTGAGGATACACAATGTTTTCAAAGTTTGGGTAAAATGGCTTCAACCCTGTCATTTTTAACATAAAATCATGGTTTAAATCTGGTATAAAAGGTGGCGTGTATCATCCCTCGGTCATGTATGTTTACAACACTGATGTTGACACTGTTATTTACGACTGTAACAAAGACAGTGTGCGTGTGTTTCATATGCAGACCCAAATCATCACGAGCATCATGACGAGGAGGTCCAGCATCTGTGGGACGAATGGTCACAGCTTGGTGAGCATCTCTGCAGCTTCTCTCCAGTGAGCTCACGGCACTGAGGGGGGACTGTTGCAGCAGAGGTTACACCATTTGTTGGCATTGATTTTTGCAGCCTGTGCAGATCTCGCACATCGTCATCAGTTGCAAGTGGTTTAACAAAAAGGTTACATCATGAGAGTGTGTTTCTCCCTGTGTGGCAGGCATCACTGCAGAAACCTACCTGCTGTTGGAGCATGCCTTTTGTGGACAGGACGTGATGAACTCCACCGCCTCGGTCCATGAGGAAACTGCCCTCCTGCTGCTGGTGTTACCCTGCCTCACCGTGCTGTTCTGCAGCATGTAGGACTGGAGCTGTTGTCCTTCATGTTTGGTCCACCACCTCTGCAAAGTGGATGGATGCTGGGATTAAAATAGAAGCCATAAGATTAATCAGGCTGTGAGTTCTGCTGTTGTCTCTAGAGATCATCACTCCCATGGCCCATCCTCTTCAGAGAGATTACTGAGGTTAAACAATGACCTATCTGTCCTACACGCACTTCAAAAAGCTGTTTCTGATGAATTATTGAAGAATCATGGCAGGTGTCAAGTTATGTCAATTCGAAGCCAATCATAAAATTGATTATAATAAATATTTGCACTTAAAGTAAGATCTGGGCGTGTGTAATATACTTGAAAGAAATAACTAAGTAAAAGTAAAAATACAGTATCAGAAAAGGACTTTGGTAAAAAATGAATCTCACTGATAAGAAAAGTACTGAAGTAAAAGTCATAAAACTGCTCACAATAATCAGGAAAGTAAAAGTACTTTTACACACACTCCGAGAAATGAAACTACTTAACCAAACTGGTCCTACTGAACTGATTTGATTCTTGTGTTGACGTCACCATTGTTGCCCTATTTTCAGTCACTTCGGCTGTTTCTGTAAGTAAATAAACACACATGGTAGTTGGCAGCTGTTCACACTTTTTTAAGGGCACATCAGTAAGAGAAAAAAATGTGAATTTTTTTCCTTCGTTTACCTCATCTGTTGACTGGTCAGGAAATTGTAATGAGTGGATTTAATCTGTTTTACAAATAAATGAAGCTAAGAAATTGTTTTTCAGCAACTATGTGTTGTCTCTGCTGGTTACCTGTTACAGTATAGTAAATTCAATTTAAATTAGCCTCTGACCTGATCATTAAAGATCTAAGTGTAGAAAACAGGTCACAAACTTTTGGTTTTTAAGTCAAATGGAAAAAATAAAAAGGGGACTTGGAAACAAATAATTTTGTCAAATTAGTTGCAGTTAAAATAAGCACTTTTAATCCTAAATTTAAAGTAGTTTAAAGTCAACTTAAAACTGTTTTTCATTGCTAATTTTATCAGGCAAGTAAACAAAAACTTGACATTTTAAAGCCATTTCATACAAAATAGACAATGATCAAGCCAATTATAAAACTTTTTTAGTTGTAAACATTTTGGAACTGTGGCAACATTACTATTACCATCAATTTGACATCAATTTCTGCCCAATAAAACATATGTGCTGCTAAACGAGTCTACACCTCCCACCACCTTCTGTTATTGTAAAAATATAAATGAATGCATCATAAACTTTCTTTACATAACTTACAAAAGTAAATAAAAAGCAGACAGTAAATCCAAACATGTTTATTTTCTCCACTACTGGAAATGTTACAGCACTTAAAAAAGTTACAAAACTAACTGAAGGTCAGTCTGAGTTCAAATGATGAGAATGAAGCAGAGACAAATTTGAAACTAAACTTAGGAATGTGTTGTAACAACAAATAAACAGCTGAGAGTCACAACTGAAACAAAAAAAAAAATGCACCTGGTGTCCTTGCTGTGTATCACATGATCATAACGACTCATATTTACTGTTTTTAAACGGACCTCATATGTTTACAGTGGAATGACGCAAAGTAACACATTTGTGTTATTTGTGCATTTACTTTTGGTTCTGCTTCAATAACGAGTGTGTTGCTGTTTGTATGCTAGCTTGTAGCTAGCATCCAAGGTCAGTCTGTCATCTGAGGGGAGGGGTGGGGGTAGTCACTCAAATAAATACAATGTACAGCCTATATAGAAACTGTATGTTTTCCAAACAAACAGTGCATGTCAGGTATCAGAGCTCTAGTCTATATCCAGGTCAGAGTCCTCATCGCTCGCAGTGCTCTGAATGATGGCTCCATTGCGAACTGTCTTCGGGACGATGGGGGGCTTTTCGGGCAGCAGGCCGCACTCCTGCAGCAGCGCCTCCACGTCCACAGCGAAGAAGTCTTCCCCGAGCTGGTCCGTGAGCCTCACAAAGTTCCCGATCAGCTCCCCTCCCTTGTAGACGAGCAGGGCCGGCAGAGCGCTCTCTCTGAACAGCTCGCTGGTGCTGATGGCCGAGCTGCGCACGCTGCAGAACTTCACCAGGGGGTACTCCTGCGCCAGGCACGCCAGGCAGCCGCCCATGGACTCGCAGCCCGGGACGTCCGGCTCGTAGATGTGGATCACGATCAGCGTGCTTTTGTCCTCCTTGTCTAACGCCTCCAGGAACTCCTCGCCGCTGCTCAGCTCGTAGACCTGCTTGAAGCGCTTCCCGCTGCAGAGCTGGCGCCGCATCTCCTCGATGCGCTGCATCCGGTAATGCTGAAGGAAGTCTTCGTCATCCTTTTCTTCCTGGAGCATGTTGTACTCCTGCATGGTCATCTTTGGAAGAGAGGGTCAGGATTATTCGCATTTGTTACAAGAGCTCTTTGGTAAAATTGGTAAAAGTTTCCAGACTAAGTGAAGAACAGCTACTTACTTTGCCTTTAATCTTCTCCTGCAGCTCTTTCTGTTTCTCGCTGTCCTTTTGTAGATCGAGATCAGAGCGGCAGGTCATCGACAGCTTCTTGATCAGTCTTTCCATCTCATTTTTCTGCTCTTGTCTCTGCTCCACCTCCAGCTGCTTGTACTTCCTCCAGTCATTGATCACACCCTTTGGTCCTGAGATGAAAACAACCACAGACACCGTCATCACATATTCTTTCATTCATCAACAAGTTACTCGTCTAAATAAGAAACTAGTACATAATAATGCAAGGCCCGGTGCTTTTATGTTTTGTGACAAATAAGAGTCTAGGTTTTTATATACAGCTGGTAAAATAAGTATTGAACACGTCACCATTTTTCTCAGTAAATATATTACTAGAGGTGCTAATGACATGAAATTTTCACCACATGTCGGTAACAACCCAAGTGATCCATACATACAAAGAAATCAAACCATAAATGTCCAGAAATGAAGTTATTTGTAATAATGTGGAACGGCACAGGGAAAAAGTATTGAACACATGAAGAAAGGGGGGGTGGTGGCGCAGAGGGTAGAGAAGCCGAGTCTGTGATTGGAAGGTCGCTGGTTCGACTCCCGCAGACCAACCAGCCCCACCTTGGGCCCTTGAGCAAGGCCCTTAACCCCACAGCTGCTCCCCAGGCGCTTTAATTGGCAGCCCACTGCTCCACATGTGTGCTCACATGTGCGATGGGTAAAATGCGTAAAAAGGCATGGAAAGCCAAGACATCAGCTGAACTCTCTCAGTAATTACAAAGCCAGCCTGCCCCTTGTCAGTGCAAGTTAATATCAGCTGGTTCAGTCCCAAATGATGGCCAGGTATCACAC